CGCGCGTGCGTGTGAGAGAGTGCGTGCGCGTGCCTGTAGCACATCCTCCGGTGACCCACACTGCGTTTGTTTGTGTCAACCAAATATATCCATTCATGCGTTTCAAAGGTCACGTCAAGCAAGTCGTGTACAGATGCTGCACATCCAACTCTCCTGTAAAAAAACGTGTAATTGAAGAAAAAAAATGAACGTGTGTGTCTGCACTCTAAAACACATTTTTTCCCTCAGCAGAGAAGAGACCCTGAACACCCCATGACTCTTTTCCCCTCAGCTCCTGTGGGCCGTGACGATGATGTCCAGGGAAGCACAAATCTATAACAACACAACACATTCTCACACACACACACACACACACACGCACACACACACACACACTGCCAGACACACACACGCACACACACACATACACACGCACACACACACATACACACACACACACACACACACACACACACACACACACACACACACACACACACACACATCACTGCCAGGCCAGCACAGAGAGAAAGACACCCAGAAAGCGGCAGCGCACACTACAGGGTTAAATAGGAAGGGTCATGGAGGACAAATTAAGAAAGAAAAAAATAAAGTTTCTTTTGTTGCTCGTACCTGAGGTCGGTTCAGTGTGTTTGTGTGTGATTGGACTGAGTGTGTGTTTAACTCACCTTGGTTCAAAGTGATCGCCAAAGTTATGATCCACAGGGCTGGCATGGTTTAGCCGCGCGCATTCAGATTCCTCCCCTCGGCTCTGCTTCCCCGAAAAGACACCATCAATTCCTCCGGAGCGGCTCAATTTAACTGGAATCCTCTCAGGGTCATGAGAGTGAAAAGAAGACACATTTAGAGGAAAATATCCCAAAGCTTCTTTTCTCTTTCTCTTCTTTCCTTTATTCACTCGTTTCCCTGTTTTTTCCCGTGCCTAAAATAAATCTGTCTCCACTTTTTTGTTGTGTCTCTCTGCTCTCTCTCTGTGTTTCTCTGTCTGCGCTTTAGATTCTCAGGACTGAATTCCTCTCTCCCTCTTTTCGCTCGCTTTCTCCCTCTCTTGGCCCCCCCCTCCTCTCATACAATCAGTAGCACACACCCCCTCCCCCCCCCCCTCCCTCCTCCACGCCTCCCCGCTCCAAATCTCCGTTTTGGACTCCACAGATAGGAGGAGCGCTGCTGCAGCGGCCGGACAGAGAACTGCGCTTTAAACTTCAGACCATCACATGTATTAAATGCTCAAATGTATTTATTTATTGTTTATTCCACACATGGCAGTTATTTTAACATGTACACTTTACAAAACATGTACACTATACTGATTTTATTTTTATTTTGTAGGCTATACAGCACATGGTGGAAAGGAGCAGGGAGAATAACATCTTATTTAACCTTCCACATGTCTCATGTCACTACAGAGACTACACAATCTGCTTTAAAGTAGTGCTAACTGATGCTTAACATTTTATTTTGTATTTAAATTACTTCATCTTAACCCTAAATCTCTTATAATATCTAGATAAAAAGACTATAAAATGACATCTGGAGTAGGAGTTATTACAACAATTAAAGGGACACAGAAAATCAGGTTTATTCTGATCATAGGCCACTTAGCCCGTTTTAGCATTTCGCAATATGCTGCAATACAATATGTGATGAAATCTGTATTCGGTATTTATTCTTACTAAATGTTCTGACGATTAAGAGAGAGAGGGTCACAGGTTCGAGCCCCCATTCTGCCATGACCCGGCTCGTAGGCCATGACAAAAACGGGATGACGAGGACACAATGGATAAGGGTAGGTAAATAAGTACTTAACAATATAACGCAAACTAATATCTTTGTTAGCAATTCAATAATGAAGTTATCCAACATTTGAAATGCTCTGAAAAGCGCTTTTTTGTCAATTAGCTTGTTGCATGGAGTATAAGGTGAGACAAGAACGTTTTTAGGGACATAATTGCAGAAAGATAATGTCATTTCCCCCCGATTACAGTCAGTTTTTTGTTATTTTAACGTATAGAATTCTAAATGCTTTGCTTATAGGCCACTCTCAACGACTTTTTTAAATTAACTTTTACAGTTGTTTATGAAGTGATAAATATTTAATGTTATGACACTATTACTCCCTATTAGTCAATACTCAATATTTTTAATTAAGAAATGGTACCTGTTTGATTATCCTACTCTTTTGTTCAAGCATTTGCTCTGAAGGGAAAACTAGGAGTTTCTGCAGTGACCCGGACTTTATGTACCAGTGCTATTCAACAACGCATCAAGCGCCTCGGACAGTCCTTTTGTGCCTGTAGCCATCAGGCTGCACAACAAGGGGTCAATAATGAAAAGAAATCCAAATAAAATCACTGGACATTAAATATACCACTGTTTCCACAACCCATGTTAATATATTAGTAGTAGACCAAATATGTAGATAGATATGTCACTATATGTACAGATGTCCATTTTCACTTTTTCACTTGTCACTTTAACTCTTTTCGGACTTCATAACTTGGATGACCAAATATGTATATATGCTGACAGTTATTTTACTCTTATTTTTACTCATCTCCTATTTCATAGTCTTTTATTATTATTATCATTATTATTTTAATTTTTTTTTCTTGATTTCTATTTTTTATTTATTTAATCTGTGTGAATCTTTGCTATCCCTGTTTTTCACGCTTACCCTGTTGTTGCTGCTTTGTACAACTGAATTTCCCCACAGGGATTAATAAAGGTCCATCTTATCTTATTCTTATCTATTCCTGTAATACTATTAAAGTATATTCCTGGATGACTGTCAGCTCTTCCATCTGTGCACAAACTTATCTCGTGCCCTCATTGGTCATTGTGCGCGTTCGTCGTGTGTGTTGGAGGAGGGGCTCTGTAAGGAAAGTAGCAGATTTTTTTCCGGTTGTGTATTTTCAATTCGAGCTGATTTTCTCCAAAATTACCTACCCCACCTTTAATATAACAGTTACTTTCATCATTTTTCCAGTAGGATCTTACAGTGCATAATCCAATAGAGATTGTTAAAGTGACTATTTTTGGGTCCAGGTAAACAGTGCCATTCTGAAATGAATAAAGCTTCATAAACTGTAGGAGCGTTTTATATTCCTAACAGTTTGCAAATATGAAATTTATGTCGCAATAAAAGTTTGTTATTAATCCGTTTTCTAATATGATTAGGTCAGCTTTTGGCACTGCACACTTTTCTTTTAGCACCTATAATGTATTCTCTTCAGTTTAACTTCATCACATTACCTCCAGTGTGAGGAGTGTGACTACTTACAGTTTAATGAAGTGGTAGCATGTGTACAATGTAAGTCTGCTTAATAACTAACAGACTGTCAACATGTGGGAACAATATTCCCAAAACCACCGTCTGTAATAAAGAGGGAAAGATGAGAGGAATAAAAGGCAACCGGATCAAAAGCACTAAAACAGACTTTTCTCTGGGAAAGAAAACATTATTTATCAATCTAATGATTTAATAAAGAACACCTCTAAAACATGCAATATAATTAAATTAGTAGAAAAAGGAGTCAGTGGTTTTTCCCTCATTTTAACCAACCTGCATTTCTTTGTTTTTTCAGTGAATAAGTGACTCTGAAATTGATTGCATTGTACTGCCCTCTGTTGGACATTATATCTAACTGCTTGCGGCTTTCTGGAACCTGTTTGATGGTCTCACATTTCAGGGAGAACTTGATTAGTGAGCTAAGACATCCAAAACACATACATGTTTGGACTTTCTAAATATTATTGTATATCTTGTCAATTCAACATGTATATTTTTTATTTTCTTTTCTTGTTTATTTGTAAAATGCCTTGCCTTTTATGCTGCTTGCCGACAAAAAAATTCCCAAATTGGGATCAATAAAGTACCATCTTATCTTATCTTATCTATCTTATACCAAATCACTGCATAATACAACACATAAAACCCCCACACCTTTACTCTATCTCTCCTCCTCATCATCCCCATCCATCCCCAACCAAACAATTAAATATCCTAATGTCTTTAAAGAATAATGTTTAGTACTTTTGTACACAGTCACTAAGTAAACAATGCTTGATACTTACCCTTATCCATTGAAAAAAAAATGCATATCAAGTATATAATACTCAGTACAAAGCATGACTGATGTATTGATAATTCAAATGATTATTTTCTGTGTTTTGAATTTGATCGAAACAGCACTTTTTTAAATTTGTTTCAGGACATTTAGGCTTGGAAATCTAGTAAAATGTTTTTGTACCGCATCAAAAATAGGAACACGAATTGTCTAGATAATCCTTGACATAAAATCATAACACAAAACATTACATGCTTTTACTCATCTCCCTTATCCATCCCACCTCAGCTTTTATGGGCGGCTGTGGCTCAGTGGGTAGAGTGCTGGACTTCAAATCAGGTGGTAGCAAGTTCAAGTCCCACTGCAGTCAACATGTCGTTGTGTCCCTGGGCAAGACACTTCACCCCACATTGCTCCTGTGGGGATTGTCCACAGTACTGAATGTGTGTAAGTCATTTTGGATAAAAGTGTCTAACAAATGACATGTAATGTAATGTAAAGTTTTATATCCATTATTTTCATAATAATGTAATGTTCAGAACGACACAGTAAGAAAACAATGCCTGATTAAAAGGAAGATATTTACCCTTTAAAAAATCCAGATCTGTAACAAAAAGTAACGAAGGTCCAAAATCCATTTCCAAGTGCTTATCAAGTAAAAATACTTAGTTATTAAATCCAAAGATGTCGGAGGTATTGATAATTCAAGTGAGATTCTTTGTATTATGACTATTGACTTTTGAAGAGCACTGTTGTATCTTCTTGTGGAAAGGCAAGGGTTGGTCTTTTTCCTAAAGCAGTGTAGCAAAATGCACTGCAACCAAAAAAATTGCCAAATCGTGAAGAAAGCCGATCTGATTTCATTAAACATTTGAACATTTAGGATCTTATTTTGAAATGTTCTAAACTTTGAAGCAACAAAGACAAGACAAGTGAAATTAACCCAAATGCATGTTTATTGAAGTCAACAACTGAACTGGTATTTTAACAAAAAAACAAATAAAACAAATACTGTATGAACACCCAACAGACGCAGGCCCACCACAGCATGCGGTTGGGTCTCGTCTTGATGACATCATCAGCCATAGTACAAATTAACATACATGACAGCACTATTCCCATGTGATATGGATATTTATTCAAAAGGAAGACTTGTCACCCAAAATTATACGCCCTAAAAACAAAGACGCTGTTTTAGTCATCGAAATAATAACATTTTTGTGAATGCATCGCACGTAGGAGTGTCTCCGGAGTCTGTTTGGGTCGAACACACCTCACACTCATACACAAACACACATACACACACATAATGCACAAACACAGTCACAGACATCATGCCTGCCGTGCATATCCAGATATGTGTGTGGATGTGCATGTACCCAAAGTGAAAAGTGTGTATGGGTGCGCTTGTAAGAGTATCCAGTAAAGGCAACACTATATACATGAAATTATAATAAAAATGGTTGTTGAAACAATAAAATGCGAAAACTAACACCCAAGATTTCGGGGGTAAAAACTAAAATTCAAAAAAATGATTATCAATCCAACTGAAAAGAAAACAATTTAAGATTATGCACCTTTTTTAGAAAACATAATTTAAAAATGTCCGTACTACAAAAATAAAAAAGATGACTGGCAGCTAGTGTGCGACTGCCTGCCTGGAGAGGATGGTGAGAGGGGGTGGGGTGGGGTGGGGGGGGGGGCAGGAGATATTGGTCTGACTGATTTAGAGAAGCTGCTGTTTGCCGGCATCTGGTGACAGCAGGTCATTACTGCACTGACGCCGTGAAATATGAATCTGCACGTCCCAAGTCTACGCCATTCAACCTCTAAGAATGAGTCATACTTCCTCGTTGTACAGATGTGTGCGACCGGGACTCGGCGTATGTTTGCAGATCAGAGACCAGCAGTGAGGTCAGCCTGCCACTCGTCTCGGGAGAGATGCTTGTCGGCACTTCTTGTCTCCAACACTATCTACAACCTTTTTCTCATGCAAGCTACATGCTAGCACATTAACTAAGACGGACAGGACGATAAGTTACAGGCAAATACAGGTCCATTAGTTTTGAAAAGACACTACACTTTGTTTGAGTATGAGGCAGGTATTCCTTTTATCCATTCACAGAGCAGAATTAGACTGGGGGAGATAAATACAAATCAAGGGGTTACTCTTCAAAGTGGACAGTAAAGCTCCGTGAGACAAAGCTTATCCTCTGGTCTGCAGACATGATTGCAGGTAAAAGTTGAAGGGTTAGGGTTCAACATGAGTTAAACAGTGTTCGGAATCTGTTTAAAGTTGCCCCTCCAAACAGTCTTCAGAGAACACAGTTAAAGCCACGTTCACTACAACATCCCCAAATACAAATAAGAGCTTTAAAAAGAAAAACAAACACATCAGCTGACCCTGCTTCAGCTCACATAACCCTTTGTGGTATAGCTAGCTTATAGATTGACTAGCCACGCTTTCAAAGCAGCTAGGATAACGACAATGCAGGGAAAAGCACAATCCCTGAACGTTCCCAAAAAAGGTTGTACAAAAATCTAACATAGGACAAAGCTGTCTACAGGTAGACTGACAACAGCAAATGGATTCCTCTCCAAAACACCAGCTAAGAAAAGTGATGCAGAGAGCCATGAGCGCACGCCAGCAAACCGAGAGACGCTACTTCTACTGTACGTCTATGGACTCCTAAAGAGAGACCAGCAAGGACATCGTTTAGAGATGGAGATGGAGGGGGGGGGGGGGGGGGGGCGAGGAGTGATGAGGAGAGAGCGGGTGAAGGTGGATCAGGACGCAGACGAGATGATTGATTAAAGAATGAAAAGGAATGGACGAGTGGAGCGGATGGGAAAAAAGAGAAGGGGACATTTACGTTTCCTAAGTGACTTTCTTCAGCGTTAGCGCAGCCCACCGAGCCAAACCTTGGCATGGATTCAGTCTGGAGCTCAGAGCCTCTTAGTTAGATTGCAATCAATTTCCACGACCGGGCCAAGTGGAGCCGGCCAGCGCCAACGCAAACTTCCAACCTTCATAAAACACTGCTCATTTAAGGGAAGCTTTTGCTAAGCTGGGCGAATGACTCCTGCTTGGAAGAAACAATAACAGAAAGGGTTTTTCATGTTTGTCGTAATGCATGTCGGCAGTCCTGTTTGGCCCCGTGGTGGAAATGCAAGTATTTCAAACTCCCCTTAAGCAAGACACTGCCAGATTTTTTAGAGGAAGTCACGACTCAATGAGTTTAGCGCCAGGAAGGCAAGACAACCCAAGAAGTCTGCTGCAGAGGGAGGGAGGGTGGAGGAGAGGGGCCAAGTGAAAGGAAGACCACAGCGGGGGGGCCACGTGATGCTCCGGGTAAACTCCGCCCAACACTTTGACACCTTTCGAAGCGAGGTTTTGCTACAGTTCAGTGTTTGGGAGCAGAGGGCCGACAACACAGGGAGAAAATGGCGCACAGCAAGGAAAGTAAAAGTACAATCGTGAAAAATCGAAATGGTTCGATGATTGGACTCCTGGACTGACACATCGAAAGACACTGTAAACCGTTAACACTGACAGTAACACACGAGACACTGACGAGAGACAACAACTCTCATAAGTCCCCAAAAAACTAAACTGAATAAAAGAAAAATAATGAAGGAAAATTCCTCATACAAAGATTTGCAGTTAAGGTTAGTTTACATCGCAACATCGTTATGTTTATTTATTTTTTCCCCCAGATATTGATAGTTTTGACTTTGCATTTCCACGCATGTAATAAAAACAGGCAGGCTTTTGTTTGAGTATATAAGTTACTGTACTGCAGTAACAGACCGTATGAGATACAGGAGATTTAGAGCGAGAGAGAAGAGGGATAGAAGGAGAAGAGAGAAAGAGTGTATTTACAGCACACCAAACATTTCTGTCAAGTAAAAAGAATGCTATATAATTCTATATATATATATTTATATATGTATACTGGAGCCCCTTGGCTTGGTAGCGCAAGGTGGGAATGCTGTTTTTGCATGAGTGTTGCATGGTGCTGGCGCTGTGGGAAACCCAACGGGGTTTGTGAAGATGCGGGAAGGGGGTTTGATGGCGTGAAAAGATTAAACTGTGAGAGAGGGAGATTATGCTTGAATCATTTCACCTTGAGTGCATTTCTCTGGATGTTCACAGAGGGCTTGTTAGATGGAAGGAATGAGGACAGAAGGTGTTTAAATGTGTAGGAGACGGGTATGGATGTTGGGAATGTGAGTTACAATTTTGCTTTTTCGCGGCGCTGACCGTGTTAGAAATGATGTGTTAGTACAGTAGGAGGCTCCCGTGTGTTAATCTACGAGCATTCAAGTCCGTGTGAGAAGAGTTTTCCAACCAAAACCGACTCATGTATGTGTGTGTGTGTGGTTCGAGTGTGTATCTTCAGTTCGTCCGTGTGTCAGTGCAAATACTCACTTCCCTGTATCAATGCAAAGAGGGTAGTACCAGTTGAAACTCATCCCGCCCACAGTTCTTCCCCTCCCATCCTCCCTCCAACAGAGTGAAGAACAGAAGCGTCGTGAAAACAAATGGAGGTTTTTTTTTTCCACTCCTGCCCTCTCCTCTAATCCACGTCCTCCAGATTTTCCTCCTCCTCCTCCTCCTCCTCCTCCTCCGTCCTCTGTCTAGATGAAGTACTCCTTTTTGTCCTCTGCTCCGGAGTGGCCTCCCTCGGCGTTGATGATGGCTGTGTCAGCGTCGGGGGCGTCGTCCGAGCCCTTTGCCTCGTGGGTCAGATACGTTCCTGCAGAAGAAGAAGAGTCACAGAGAGTAAGAGACGAGCAGGAGAAACATAAGATTGCTGAGGCAGTAAAAGTCAAATATTGGAACGGTAAAATGAAAAAAGTCCGGAGAGTGTTATAAACAGTGTGGTGGCAAGATGTTCCAATATGATGTCTGCATTATCACTTCAGGTGCTTTTGATAACTTGTGCGTCTTTTAATGCGGTTGAATGGCTATGTAGTAAAGTTTTCTTTAGGCTGTGGGCGAAGTAGGAAAAACACATTCTGAGAACAAGTAATAAAAAAAGTGATTATGTGGATACCATACAGGGTTTTTCTCTGGATTGGTTTTATGGGGGGTTTTATTTTGGTTATGAAAGGTAAGAACTAAGGAAAAAGGGATTTCTTTTGCACAACATCTCAGTGTCTGCAGGTCCAATGACATCTAGACGTTCAGGATAAAAACTCAGCTAAGAAGTGAACATTTTTAGACATATAGGCTACATATAATTATTGTTTTAAAAGATTACAAAGACTTAAAGGGGACCTATCATGCAAAATGCACTTTTGTACGTCTTTTATACATGAATATGTGTCCCCGGTGTTCCAGGGAACTCACCAAGTGTCAGAAAACACAACCCTCTCTATTTTCCTCCATACCCAAATCTCTAAAAAAGGGGCTGCAACGGATCTGATAAAAACTGATCCAGATTTGAACACTGTCCTGACATCAGGACGGTGGCGCTACGGCTATTGGGCCAACTCCACCAATCAGGAGGAGACAGCCACGGCCATTGCCGTTCGAAAGAGCTGGAGACGCTGTAGTACATATGCCAGGCCAGTAGGTGGTGCTGTTCTCACTGAATCTGCCCTTGCAAAAACAGAGCTAGAAATGGTCAAATTGAGCAAAATGAGGCATGGCTAAAATGCATGATCTGTTTGGTATTTTGAAGAAAAAAAAGTATAAATATGCCTTATATAGGTATGGTCCTACACTATATTATTCAAATATAGCATGATAGGTCCACTTTAAGAAGTTAAGTTTAGTTTGGACCTGCTTCAGTTAAATACTGTACTAGATGTTTTTTCCTTTAGTCCAGTTTTAACCCAAGATGTCTAGACATATTTCAACCTTCACTTCACAAAATCTCTACTTTAAAGGCTCCATCAAAACTGTCATCCAAGTAAAACCTTTCCCATGTTTCTGTGAAATCCTTTTCTGCAGGTGACTCTCTTGCTAACATTCAGAGAGCAATTTTTACAACTGTGTTTATTTGGCTGGACTACAGCACAATTAGTGAAGCCCTTTAAGCAGGAACATCTGTCCCTGACTTCTGGATGAAGTGTTGAAGTGGCGTAGATGGTCGGAGTTTTGCCCATTGGATGTTACTCTTTGAAATGAACAGCCTTCAATAATGCCTCTGGAGGCTTTTACAGCCAACATTGACCATGCATGATGCAGCTGTGTTACTTTAAGGTGAGCATGAAAGTGCAATATTAACTTTGGAAATGGAAGTTTGACAAATGAATCTTAACTCAAGGTCTACTCAGAAGCTTTTTCTGGAGCTTTCAGTCATGTGGTTTTATCACCCAACACACTCACATTAGTTGTCCTCATGGCCGACAAGAGACTGGGGTTTGAGTCATCGACCAAAATGAATGGACATCCGTAAAAAGATTAGGAGGATATTTAAATCTGAAGCCACATATACTGTGTTTGAACTTTACTATCATCCCATATATAAGCAACCACAAAATCGCCATACTCAGTCATCTCATGGCAATTGAGTTAACTAGACTTGCTGATAAGATTGTGAATGTTTTAAACGATTTAGTCAACCTTCTTTGAAAGTGATTTTAAATGGTAAAAGCTTTGATTCTGTCTTTTAATAAATAAAAACAATGCATTTCTTATATACACTGCAAATCTATCTTAGCCTGTCTTTTTATTTGAGCTTTCACTTTTCTATTAACTTGGATTTCGATGTATTTGAATGTCCTTCAGTTTCTTTTGCCACTTTGTCTCAATGCCGTTTGAAGTTTGTTGTTTGTAATTGCAGTTTGGATTGCTACTGAAATCTGCTTGTACCAACAAACGTGCTTTGCCTTGTGAAGAATAGCTCTCTGGACATTATCCCGTACAGTAAGTGCACACACTGTCAGATGCTGCCATCGATTGCTTTTGTTGCTTTACTAATGAGAACTCTCCGCTTTAAATCTAACATAATGGCATTGGGTAAGACAGGGAATGACCTATTGCTTATTCACTATAGTCTGTGTAATTGTTCATTCCTCTGCTCGCTGCAATATTGTACACATTTAAAGCTCCCATGCAGCGAAAGGCTTCACACTATCATCCCCTCAGATCCCACCCTCCTCTGTCTGCACAGGTTCCCTAACCAACCAGAGGGAGTCAGTAGAGCACACCGACTCAGACGTTCCCCCACAGAGTCGGTATCTGTGAACACTGGCCACTGAGACACTCTGTTCAATATTCTGGACCAGCTGACGGCCCCCAGAGCTGCAGGTTGACTCTCACTGTGGCGGTGCTGGAGGTGGGAGCGAGTTTATCAAACGCACCACCTGGGTCCTGGAACTTGTTAAGTGCCATTTCGATTTCACCTGTCCCCTGATGGAGCTCAGGCCTTTTATCTGGCTCTGTCCTTGTTTGTTTAGGTGTTGTCAGACTATAACACTCCTTGTTGTTAACCACCAACTATGTGCAATATGTGCAATATATGTATATGCTGTTAATAACTGTGCAATATATACCTGGCTGCTAAATCCTCAGAACTGTTACAGGATGTGTTTTTTGTAAATTGTGTAACCTTTTTATTGTAATATTTTTTTTTATGCATGCTTCTTAGGTAGCATTAAGCTGTCTTTGGCTCTTTTGTGCTGTAACAATGTAAATGTCCCCTCTGTGGGACTAATAAAGGTATTCTGATAAAATGTGTTTTTAAGGCCTGCATAAGAGTGGAATAAGGAACAATTCAAAACTGTTTTGTCGTCTCCCACTTCCACAGCACAAAGTACGGTGGCTGACAGGTGCAAACGCGCTACAATGTTCAAAAACATTTCCATTAGGAGAAACCCCTTGCAGCTTCAAAAAGGATGCATCAACTTGACAACTCATGCGCAGCATTTTAGAAAAAACATACACCAATTTGAGGAAACAAGCACAGAGTTTAAAAAAAACGTTGCACGAAGCCCAAAACACAACGAAAACGGGGAACTGAGAAGAGAAACACAGCTGGGACCGGAGCGCTTGTTGACGTTCAACTGTCACTGGAAACACACCTACAATATAAGTTTTATTCTCTTATTTTAACAACGTGATCACATGATGTCTTACGATATTATTGCAGATCTGCTGTAAGCTAGCTAGCTAACGTAGCTAACCTAGTCATTTCAAATATACTGACAAAACACTTACCATTATAGACAGGACAACTATAAAATCCCCAAACGTCAACAAGCGCTCCGGTGTGCATCAGTTTTCAGTGTAGACTTGCATGTGTTTTGGCACATGTTTTTATATTTCCATCATGCTTGAAAGTGCAGTGAGTTTGTCCTGTTGTAAACGTTGTTAGCCCGTTGTAGCGCGCTTGCCCTTGTCAGCCGCAGTAACACAGGCCGCAGAGAAACAAACTAACATCACGGCCAGGAAGCAATTATGTTATCTCTTTAATCCCCATATTTCACTATATAAACTTCTGCTGAAATACTGCTGATGTTAAGAAATCTAATCTCACAGGAAGTTTTATGAACCAAAATGTATTTAAAATGCAATGAATAAACATCCACTTATTGTTATTCATACAATTTCTTACTCTGTTTTGAGAGAAACTGAGTGAGGTTTATCCACAGATTCCATTTTTGGTGTGTGTGCATTTTCTGTACATTTGTATGCATATGCATGTTTGTACGTGTGATATCCAATCTTGGTGCACATGTATCCCTACTTATGCAAGTGGATTTCAGTGTACGCTCATGCATGCATGCATACATACATGTCCTTGTGTGTGTGTGTGTGTGTGTGTGTGTGTGTGTGTGTGTGTGTGTGTGTGTGTGTGTGTGTGTGTGTGTGTGTGTGTGTGTGTGTGTGCGTGCGTGCGTGCGTGTGTGTAGGTGACCTTTGTGTCTGATGAGGTATCTGCCGAGGACGATGAGGAGGCAGAGCAGGATGAAGACGATAACGGCCACCACCCCTCCGATCACGGCGTGGTCCACCCCCGAGGACGTCGACATGGCTGTGGGGTCTTTAGTAGAGGGTGTTGTGGAAGGAGAGGAGAGATGTGAAGAGGAAGTCATGTCGTAAAGATAAGATAGGAGACGTAATGAGAAAAGGAAGGAGAGAAACGGACGTGGAAGAGACAATAGAAAATGAGGTAGAGACGGGGAGAAAATATAGAGGGACAGAGATTGAGGGCAGATGGGGAGGAGGAGGGTGGCGTATGAATATTGGCGGAAACAGGAGACAGATGATGAAAGGCAGCAGAAATGAGAAAGAGAGAGAGAGAGAATATAATGGGGAGAGTGACGGAGAGAAGGCAGACAGAAGAGAGAAGAAGAGGGGAGTAGACTTGTCAATATATAATACCAGACACAGCGACAACCTTCAGAAGACAAAGACAAGGGTTCAGAAAAAGCCAGGCGAAAAGAAAAGGTGCCACCACATCGCCCTCTTTTAGAAAATGTTTCATAACTAATATGCAACAGGGTTGTTAAACTCATTAGGTCCAGATCTCTCAGACATTCTGCTAATGTTGGGGGGAAATCTAGCCCCTTCAGTGCTGGTGATTCCTACAATATTCACTAAGCTAAGGATTTCTTTGCTTTGCTATGGATTACAAAGGTCTGAAAATGCTACATTTGGGGGAATTCAAGGCCTGATTATTAACCAGGAAATGTATTAAACTTCTCCATCAATTACATGTTAAATGAAGAAATGTAATCCAGCCAGGATGGATCCCAAATGATATATAAAGTGGTTTAATTATTCTGTAGTATACTCCTTTCATATAGACTATGCACTAAAGTAGAAACTGTTTTATTTATAATTTACTTTTTACTTTTAAGTACATAGACAAATACCTTTACACGAGTAGAAATACCCTGGTAGTTTGCTACACATACAGTATTTTAAAAGCTGTGACAGTGTTTTGCTGGTGGTTTTGTTCACTCTTTGAATGCTTGTGGATAGAGTTTACATTTCAGGTCGGTCAAGCTGAAAACAATAGCTCTTTTACCGCTTCTGTAAAAGCGTGCATTTTGATCGAGGTGCGAGATTTTCACCCAACAGCAGCAGAGATTTAGAGATTTATTTCCCCCAGTTTGCCTCGCTTCAGCCACTTTAGCTGCTTGCCCCTCAGAGAAGAAAGCAATCTGCGCCGAAATAATTTGATACATCATTTATTCGCCTGACTTTTTAGACCGGATCAGTTTGCTGGGTGTCACTTTGAAAGTCACTCAAACAGGCATAATTCAAAAGCAACACTTATCATAACAACATATTTTTTTAGGGGAATAAAGGAGAGAGAGACTGGCTTGCACTTGGTCAATATCTGAGGGGTCAAACCATTCTGGAGGACAAGGATTCAACCATTCAGAGGAGGAAACAGCTAGATAATACAGAGGACAGGAACAAGAAATAGAGGCACAGCGACACACACTGACAACCAGTAATGTAGAGAAAACTGAAGGAACAAATTACAGCCGGCAAGGACACAGCATGATGGGCTGAACGGGCAATTTTAGAGGGAAAAGTCACATTTCAGCGAGTGAAAGAGAAGTGAGGGGCATGACAACAGCCAACCAGAGGCCAGAGGCAGACAGGGAGAAGAGGAGGGAGGAGGGGGGTGGACTCTGAGCAGCAGTCAGAATGACACACACTCACACACACACACACACACACACACACACACACACAGAGAAAGTCAAACACACACTCTGGCTGGCCGGCGTGGAGGTGAGAGGGGCATGCTGACGAGGCGAGACTGAGAATGAGCCCATAAATCCTGCTGTCAGCATCAAAGCAAAGCAGACAAGACCAAGAACACCTCAAAGCCTGAGCCCCCCCTCCCACCCACAACACACACACACACCACCACACACCACACACACACACACAGAAAAAACACACACACACATAGAGAAACGCACACAGAGGAAATGGAACAGTGTAAATGACTTGTACCACTTAAGGGGTCATGCTAGTGTGTGTGTGTGTGGTGTGTGTGTGTGTGTGTGTGTGTGTGTGTGTGTGTGTGTGTGTGTGTGTGTGTGTGTGTGTGTGTGTGTGTGTGTGTGTGTGTGTGTGTGTGTGTGTGTGTTTTGTTGTGTTCCGAATTCCTCTGTGAAGCAAGGACCAGGCATAAGGTTATAATAAAACGGATTTATTTCAGTTGTGATAAGGAATACAATTGCTCAGCTGAGGTTTCTGGAGATCAGTGTTCCACAGGCCGCGAGCAGTTCCACTCCAAGCAGTTAACTGTCTCACACTTTCCTTCCAGAGCCCCGAAAACCGGCAAAACACAGTATCATATACTTCATACATAGGAAGAGGTGTCCTCTTTTGATTGGTTATGTTTATTTTGAGTGTAGTGCTGGAGATTTCTTGTTGGAGTACAGGTGAGCCCACACCTCTTGGCCTCACGAGGTCCCACAGATCCAGCCTTGTCCAGGCCCTACACCAGGGCTTCTCAAACTCCGAAAAAAAAAAAAAAATTATTCTGATTCTGATAAATGAATGTACATCATCATGTACGCCTGCGTCTTGTGTCTGACGCGTTGTGAGAATGAACGTGCATATATATTTACTTGTGTGTGCGAGCGTGAAACGCATAGTAGACCGCAAGTTAACCGCCAAGTTTACCTTGACTTTCTAATGCTTCTAATGCCTTTTTTGCAGAGGTTCAAAGCATTGACTACAGCCAAACAGTGCCATTTCTCCCACTAGTTCAAGCCACCATACTGTATGTATGTATTGAATGTGTGTGTGTATACACGGGCGCCGTTTACCGACAGGCAAGGCAAGGCAAGTGCTTGGACCAGAAGGGGTCCCCCAAAGAAGGTAGATTAAGAAGGTCAACAGCAACGACATACATGAAAACACCCATGCATAGAGCCGCCAAGAAACTGCTTCTTAATTTCAGTTTCGTTTCTTTCTTTCTCTCCGCTCGGGGGGGGGGGGGGCGGACGGACTTTACTGGCATTGATCCGGACCAGTGACCTTGTATAAAGTTCACAACTGGACCTTTAATAAACAAGTTTGAGTACCCCTGCCCTACACTATCCTGCACTATTCTGCCTGTCCTCTCCTGTCACGTGCTATGCTCTGACTGCTTGATGCCTGGCACTGGGCCCTCTCCTGAACCGTGTGTGTGTGTGTTGGTGTGTGTGTGTGTGTGTGTGGGTGTGTGTGTGTGGGTGTGTGATGTGTGTGTGTGTGTGTGTGTGTGTGTGGTGTGTGTGTGTGTGTGTGTGTGTGTGTGTGTGTGTGTGTGTGTGTGAGAGAGCTTGTGGTGTGAGCCTGTGTGCATGTATGAGCAACAACACAGCATTACGTGGGCAGGAGTATGAAATATTCAGCACTGAAGTTCAAAGTAAAAAAAAAAGAATTCTAGACTGACAGACAGGCAACAACAGACAGACAGACAGAGCTACAGATAGACAGAAATACAGATAGACAGAGCTACAGATAGACAGATAGACAGGTGGACAGACGGACAGATAGACAGGTGGACGAAAAGAGACAACGACAGGAAGTCAAAACGACAGATGACTGGTGAAAAAATTATACCTGGAATGTTCTCTGCTGCATCATTTCAAGTGGATGAGTTGATGAATTGATGGATGGATGAATGGATGAATGGATGAATGGATGGATGGATGGATGGTTCGATGAAAGAGAAGAGTGTGTGTTGGAAAGTTTGGGCGGGGTTGGGGCAAAAAAAATAGAGGCAAACAAGAAAAAAAAACATGAGTTCAGCGCTTTGAAACGGCCATTTCTTTCATTCATTCTGATTCTTCTGATAGCTTTGAGTGTGTGTTTGCACGTGTGTGAGTGTTTAAACACACTCCCAGCATCCTTCACTGCTCACACGGCAAAAGCACAGTTTGTGTATTGAAAGGAGAAAAACACAGCAAAGTGGATGGTATTTGTTTTTCCACTCCATTACTAAGCTTCTCGCATCTCTCTTGTTGTTGTTGTTGTGTACAAGTGTGTAACTCAGATGGTTTTACCTGTGAAAGTGTAAACTCCGATCAGCCCGACGGTAACTGAGGGAATAAGGGAGGAGGAGTTGGAGGAGGAGGAGGCAGGGGGAGGGAGCGATGCTTGCGGAGGTGGTAGGAAGAAGGTTGGAGAGGAAGGAAGGTCGTGGAAGAGGGCGTTTGAGAGGGGAGTGGAGGACAATTCAAAGATGGCGGTCGACATGTCAGCCGTGGAGGGGGTGGGAGATGCGGGAGGAGTCGGGGGAGGAGGTGGAGGTGGAGGTGGAGGTGGAGGTAGGGGTGAGGTCAGGAAGGGAGGAGTAATCAGATCCGGAGCCAGAGAAAACATCAAGAGGAGAGGAAGTGGGAAGGGAGATTGTGGAAGAAGATGGAGAGGTTGTAGAGTCCAGGAAGGATAAGGTGGTGTCGGGGGAGTCTGGCTCCATGAGATCTTTGGAGGAGGAGGAGGAGGAGGAGGAGGAGGAGGAGGAGGAAGATGAAGGCGTAGGAGAAGTTGGAAATGAGCAAGCGAAGCGCCAAAAATAACCATGGATCGAAGCGCACGGGACACATCAAAAGTGAAAGGGAAAAGAAGCGCAAGTACGAGCAAAAGCGGTTGGATGGTTATGGTGGCATTTTGTGGTATGAGACAACAACAACAAAAAATAGGAGGAAAGAAACGAAAGAAAATCAGAAGAGAAAAAAGATGGAAGAAATACAAGCAAAAGCCACAGAAATAAAGAAACGTGATGAAGAGAAGTAAAAGAAAAAGACATCTTTCTCGACCCCATTTCCCTCTGTCCACTGTTCCTTATTACCTTGCACCAGGAGAGTGTACTCCCCTGGCTGTTCCCTATGCCGTTGTCAGCGTTAGCAGAGGTAGACGCCATTGTCTGATTTGTTGAGACTCTCGAAGCGGCAGGTAAGCACCATCCACTTTGGCCTGTGGGGGGAGCACTTCGTCCTTCTTATCCCACTGTATTCGGCAGGCCTGTTGAGAACGGGAGAGAGACACTGAGTTGAACTGGACACTTTTCCAAGTCACTAAAAAAAGTACAAAATCAAAAGAGGGGTGAAGTGATGAGAGGAGGAGGGAGCCGCGACAAGTGCTGCAGGACAACAGGAGAAGATGAAACGATCAAGAGTGAAGTAGAGATGGAAAGAGAAAAATGGCTGGGAGGAACGATGATGGGGAAAAGCAAAAGATAAAAGCAGGAGAGGAGAGCAAGTGAGAGCAAATGAGAGAAGAAGATGATGTCACAGCGAGAAAATAGAGAAGGGACTGAGGGAGAAGGAGAGGATGAATGATGGACAGCACAGAGGGCCGAGAGTTGTCGGCAAAAGTAAATGAAAGAAGAAGAAAATTGTGGAACGAAGGACAAGAATGGAAGAAGAAAAGAGATTTAAAGAGCACCGAACAAAGATCAGCATTTCAAATCAGCCTGCGTTAAAAAAAAATCCATTCTGCATAACAGATTGTGTATGAGAGAGATAGCGAGACGTGTCTTGATAAAAGAATCAATTATGTACATGTCCGAGTCCTTAAGCACTGTACAGTAATTACAATGACGGGGAGACGGAGACGGGGACAGACCTGAAAGGGTCGGACTGATTCATCGCTCTTTGAAAATGTGAGGAAACCCTCAGCGACTCCTAAAGGTGCAATCCGTACAATTCCCAATCCACAAATTGCCAGGTAGCTATTTGTGGATGTACAGTTACGGTTAAAGGGCGAAAAAATAATACATTTCTTAAATCAAGCTCCATCAGATTTAATAATCTATGGATGTTTCTAAAAGGCAAAAGCTTTAATAATTCTAACTGTTGTTGCTGCTGGGCTTCTCAAAGTGAGTAGAAAGCCAAAGAGAAACAAGTCTGCTCCCCTGACAACCGGCTGCTGAGCAAACACTTGGGAGGCTGTGGACTAGGAAGCTCAAAGTCTACCATATGTGTTATTTTAGGAATACAAATCCTAACAAAGCTAAAACATATATATCTGTTCTGTGAGCTGTCCTGAGGCAAATGAATATTCATGTCAAATTACATGCAATAATGGAATCAGATGTTGTTCTACACCACCTTAAAATGCTAGATAACATGCAATACAAAAAAAGACTTGTTTTTTTATTACACATCATGTTTATTAAAGAGGCCCTTTTATGCCTTTTGGGGTTTTCCCATATCTGTAGTGTGTTATAGGTTTCTGTGCATGTAAATCAGGGGTGTCAAACTCAATTTAATCGCGGGCCACATCAGCATTATGGCTGCACTCAAAGGGCCGGTTGTGTATAAAATAATGTATTATATTACATTATTGCCTCTGCATTGGATTATTATCTGATAGGGTAATAACTTCAACATTAACTACGTCTGAAAGCAGAAGTCTGGGGCAAATAATTGCAAGTCTCTTCAGTGAGAATGTCACAAAAGGATTTAAAAAGAAAACAGAAGTGACATTTAAAAAAAGGAAAGTGACATTTAAAATAAGTAACATTTTTAAAAAAGAGTCAAATTCTGAGAAAAAAGGCATATTTAGAAGAAAAAAAGTCTAATTCTGAGAAAAAAGTCTAATTTGAGATGCATTACGGGACATGTAGTTTATGGGCAACGTGCTTCTGTAAATCATCATGTAAACATATAATATTCTTTGCAAGCTCTTGTGGGGCCACAGAAAATGAAGTCACGGGCCGGATTTGGCCCCCGGGCCTTGAGTTTGACACCCCTGATGTAAATGGTCTGCAAAGGCTAGAATCAGTGAGTTTACCTCCCACACACTCACCCTGAAACGCCTCCATTGGACTCCTTTGTTTACTTCCTGAACATATTGACATCACTATGTAACACTCGCGCTTCTATTGGCGCTCCAACAAATTGTACGTGATAGGCTAAGGGGCGGGACATCTCTAAGCGGTTGACCAATCACAACAGAGTCGGCCAGCTAACCAATCAGAGCAGACTGGGCTCTGGTTTCAGACAGAGGGTGAAAAGAGGTAGGCAGTATGAGAAAAATGTAAAAGCTTTTGACATTAAAGCGTGGAGACATGTCACAGGAGAGGCACTGAATACAGATATGAACCTCTTTAAAAGTCAATCTTTGTCAGAGCAGTTAGTTTAAGTGCACGAAGCTACATTGTCAGACCAATTCCCTCCATGCATGTCTAAAATCCATGTTTTATTCCTGGCTATGAGCTCTGCTTGGGTGGACACTTTTCAATTAGCTCGCATGCATTAATAAACACTGCACAAAAGTCATGATACGCTTGAAGTCATTCTTTATTGTAATTATGGGTACTTTAGAGCAGCATATTCCTCCCCTCTCCAAACTGTAATCATTATCAGGGTAAAGAACGCGCTATTGGGTGTTTTTGCTCAATTATGTTAATGTCTCAACATTTTATAATCCAACACTGATCTATGATACCAAAAGCAATTGTTGTCTGATCAGTATGTTAACAGTTAGGATGATTAAAGGATAAGCACTCTATATTGTTCTTATGTCCCAAATCCCTGAGAAGACCAACAATCCTGCAGAAGATTTAACATATTTAACGGCGCTCTAATTACTCTTTTTTAAATAAAAAAACAAAGGATAAAATTATTAATTACCTGCCTCTGCACTTTAAAGAGTTTTCAAGCTTTTGGTTTAACATAAACAGTTTGATTAATTAAATCATGTAGCTCTCATCAGTGTGTTTGAATACACAAAAGGCAAAACAATTCTGATGTACTTCAACTTCCTGCCAGCAAGACAGAAAGACAGCAGCTTCTCTCTGGAGTTAGTGCCACTTTATACAAGCCAAAGCGAGAGTTAATATTTGTCTTGCTCACACAACTCTAAATGAATGCTAATGTGTCCGCTATAGGTGCAAACAAGCCACTGTGAGCTAGTTCGCCATTAAACCTTTATTAGGTGATAAAATGTATGTCTACAACAAATTGCCCTTCACCTTAGTGGCCGAAAGCATAATTTAATGTAGGTTTAAGGATGTTTTACAAATACAATTAGAAGATTATTTATATTACAATAGAATAATGACTTTCTATTTATACTACATGTTTTTTTAAACAGCTTTGCAAAGGAAACTGTTGGGGACTATTTTCAGCTGCGGATTAATACACATTAGGTCACATTAAGTCAGCGGACTACAACAAGTCAGAGTGAAAGTGGCTCAGAGTTTTTAGACGACACTAGAGCAGAATAAAGTTGATCAAACTTTTTTAGTTGTTAGTTAAAGTGTTTTTTATTTGTAAACAACATAAAAAGAGAAATCTATAAGTAGAAATATAGATTATAGTGGGCCTTATCGTTATCCAGTTTGCAGATTACTGTAATCTTGTTACCTGTCAGCTGCTGTTTTGTAACCGTGACAATGACCTTGCACACGTAAGGAAGCTTGCACGCGAAAGTTATGCAAGGCTTTTCAGCTGCAAACATGTAACGGTAAGTGAACAGTCTGTGACTAAATGATTCAGAAATGTGATGCAAGCACTTGCGGTGCTCCTGCTGATTGAATAGATAAGAAATATAATAGAATGTAGAGCACAAACTCCTTTCTCTTCTATTAGAAAGCTCTCGCTGCCGGGCGGCGAGGAAACACAGGATCGGATTTGATACGGAGCGTTATTCATTTGAACCTGACAGGATGTGACCACAGAGAGGAGTGTGTGTGTGTGTGGAGTGTGGCATCCATTGAGTTTGATTGGGGAGGTGGGGGAGAGGGGATGGGTGTGGCGGAGGAAAGGTGTCGTCGCGGTGATTGGGTTTTGACTGACAGCTGCGGGGGCAACCTGTATCTGATTTGATTGGACACTAGCTCATCCACAAGCGGCGGTGCACACAGCTGAGCACGCTCCCTGTCTCGCCTCTGCAGACACACAGACACTTACACGCACACACACACACACACACACACACACACACACACACACACACACACACACACACACACACACACACACACACACACACACACCACACACACACACACACAACACACACACACACACACACACACACACACACACACACACACACACACACACACACACACACACACACACACACACACACAACCGACGTTCTCTTGTTTGCTCTTCCTCTCCCCGTCTTAGTCATTCTCTTCTTGTCACCAAAATCTTTCTGTCTCCTCTCCGCCCACGCCTCTCTCCTCTCTCCTTCCTGTCGGTTTGTTTTTCTTCTCCTCTCTACCCCTTGTCATTTTTATTTTTTGCTGCGATCTCACAGTTTCCCTCTGCACTCACCTTATTTTTTAACATTCAGTCCCTTCCACTTTTATCCAAAGCCTCTCTGTATATGGTAGACCCTGATACACTGCCAGGGCCATTTTGAACTACATGGCCCTATTTATTACCACATAATATGTCTACATCTTGTATAGAACATGCATAATTCAATGGAGGCTTTCATGCGGAGTGTATACAGTTATATAACAAATACATAGATTCCTAGCATACAGTGTGTAGGTGGTCCCAGTGGGAATTGAACCCCTGGCCATGGCATAATGTTCACGCCCTTCTTTGCCACCGTTTATATTCTATCGACTCATTTGCTGACTGTTAAAGCTCGTTAATGCCATGACTGTCACCTCCTCCTGCCCCGCCTCCTGTCTGTTCCACCTGCCAATCAAACTAGTCTTATTCCTAGACTCTGATGTGATGAGCTGACAGGGGGAGAGAGGGAAGGGGGTTGACAGGAGAGCAGAGAGGGAGGAAAAGGAGGAGGGATGGGGAGTATAGGGTGTGAGGAGAGATAGAGGAGAGTTATAGGTAAGGATTGGGAGAGGAAGAGGAGGGAGGAGGGTGAGGAGGCATCGTGACAAGACGGAGGGGAAGAGAACGAGCCGTGAGTGACACAGCGGAGAAAAGATATCCGATGATGGAGGGATGGAGGGAGGCAGGGAGGGAGGACAGGGGGTGGAGGAGGGAGGAGAGTGGATCGATAGGGCTGCCTGGCTGAAGGTTCATCTATAATGCAGAAAGGCCAGGGGAAAGAGTGTATTTGTGTGGGCAGGATTTAAGACGGGGGTTGCAGTTTGTTTCTGTGTCTGTGCCTATCAGGAATATTGTGTACACACTGTATCAGTGAACACGCCACAGCTTGTACGAGCACATTTCTTGGCTAAATGTCATGTTTGCACCATGAGAAAGTGCCAGTGATTGTTTAGTGTGTGCAGACCGTCAGTGCTGCTACCTGAACATGTATCGTGCCTGTTTATTGATTTGTTTGTCTTCTGTGCAATTTGACATCCTTTCACTTCAAATGCATTTTACATGCACGCTACTTTAAACGCTGCTACAATGCTTCTGAAATCAATGGAGACTCTCTGCCTGCCCTGGAAAAAAGCATCCTCCTGCCTGTTTTTATTAGAGTCTTGACTAGCATCAGTATATGCTTGATTAAGTGCAAACACGATACAACAGCTCTTACATTCGGAGAGATGCGCTGCACTTTCAAAAAGGATGTAAATATAAAAACACTAATATGCCAGAACACATGCAAATGAAGAAACATCTTCACTAACTTGACAAAACAAGCACAGAGTTAACTTAAATAACCGCAAATACAAAACGCTGCAAGAAGCTCAAAACAGAAACAGGGACACTAAAAAGTGACGCAAACATCTAGGACCTTGCTAACGTTTATTTTTTTTTAAGGTTGGCCAACTGTCACTGTTGGCAGTGTGAGTCTGTTCATAATATTAAGTGTTTTGTCAGTATAGGCCTATATTCGAAATGACTAGGTTAGCTACGTTAGCTAGCTAGCTTACAGCAGAGCTACAATTATATTGGAAGGAATCATGCGATCACTTTGTTAAAATAAGCAGATAAAACTTACATTTTAGTAATGTTTCCAGTGACAGTTGGCCAACTTTATAATCCCCGAACGTCAACAAGCGCTCCGGTCCCAGCTGTGTGCGTCACTTTTTAGTTTCCCCGTTTCTGTTTTGTTTTGAGCTTCTTGCAGTGTCTTTGCAGCGTTTTGTTTATAGTGAGCTTTTAATAAACCCTGCAAATGTTTCGTCAAGTTGGTGAATGTTTTCTAAGTGTGTTGTGAAGTGGGTGAAGATTTTCATTTTTTCATTTCATTTTGATTTGTTCCGTTCATGGTATGCACAACTTAAAGGTGGGGTAGTTAAGTTTGAGAAACCGGCTCGAGATACACTTTTTGTTATATTCCATGGAATGCTCTTAACATCCCGATAGCAATGAATATCTTAAGTGCTTTGACAAAAAAATCCATAAAAAAAATGTCATCTGTGGAAGCCGTGGTACTGTAAAAAGTACGACCAATCATTTTAGCCGGCCCGGCTAAAATAACTGGATGGCCTACCTGCCTGTCAGCCTTCCATCTGTGCACAAACTTATCTCGTGCCCTCATTGGTCATGTGCGCGTTCGTGTGTGTTGGAGGAGGGGCTCTGTAAGGAAGTGGCAGATTTTCTCCGGCTGTGTATTTTCAAATTCTACGCACTCGAGCTGGTTTCTCCAAACTTACCTACCCTACCTTTAATGTATAATAATTGTTAACAAAACATGTCTCTGCAAACACACCATTAACCGAAAAGGAGCAGGGAGAAGAAAATAATCTTATATTACCTGCCCCTGATTTTTTATTTGCATCGTTTTTGAAATCTTCAGAGCGTTTCTCCAAATGTAAGTGTTTTGGGGCATTAACATGTTTGCCACTGCCGGCTACCATACTTTAATAATCGGAAACAGGCCATGTTTCCATGTTAGATTAATTAAGCATGAACTGTAAATTAATGACAACCTACTAGGTCATTGACAAGACATAAGAATATTATATTAGGAACTCACACCAAGTTCAAGTCTTGTAACTGAGAGAGCACATTATTACTGGCCGAGAAGAGACGATAAAAAGGATATGAGCACTCTCACAAAGAGAGTACATAAACCCCTCAATTAAGTGGCCATCTAGGAACTGTCCTCACCAGAATTTAATGAATGCTCAAATACTTAAAGAAAGCGACCTTGTGTGATCCTGGGAATAAGCAAATGTGGCAGTGACATGATGTTATAGCATCTCAAAAAGTGTCTGACCTTGACACCAAACGCAATGGCATCTCTCTGGAGGAAGCATCCCGTAAGAGCTCTTACTTCTGTCAAATGTGAGCATTACTCAAACTCTTACTTAATTCCCTATTTATTGTGCACAGGGAATAAAGCCTAGATGCAAGTATGATGAAAACTGTGTGCAAATGTTCTGTTTTGTAATTAAATATTGTTATCTTGATATTCAATTATTAAAAGTTGTATTTGATATTTAATGCTGCTATTTTTTAAGTTCATAAACTCACTGATAATTGGCAGTTGGTAGGTGGCTGTGTTTGTGTATTTAAATCAGTGTAAACTTGTGTTTGTTTGTGTGTGTATGCTTTGTGGATTTGTGTGTGAGAGAGTGTCTCTTACTCAGGGTTGCCGTTGCCCAAACACTGGAGATAAAACCTCTCTCCCTCTCTGGGCAGATTGCTCTCAGGCAGGATCTGCACGTCTGGGGAATCTGTTCGAGTAGGGAAAAACAAAAACACACACACAAACACACACAGGTTGTAGTTACATAACACAGGATTCAAAACCGTGCTGACAGTAGCGACAGTCTCATTCATCCCCGTCTCATATCTGCTCCCATCTGCATCATGTAGGCATCACCATCTCTCTGCCTCCCACCATGACATAACCCTTACACAACGACATCACTTTCCCTGGGTGGTGCAGTGTCGGGGTCTCGCCCACAGGGGGGCAGCACCGACACAGAGTCCGGAGACGAGGCTGCTCCATTTATAGTTTCATTTCAGATGATGATAACCTGTAGTGATGGGAATTACGGCTCTTTGAAGGGAGCCGGATCTTATGGCTCCGTTCCTTTCCGAGAGCCGTTCAAAAGAGCTGTTCAAAAGAGCTGTTTCGTTTTTAAGGGGGCGGGGCTAATAGGTTTATCTGCAAAATAATCACCAGGATAATGATTGACTGTATTGCCAGAAATCTACTTTTACTCACAGAAAATGTATAACTTGCTACATCTCTCAGGCAGCCAAAGTACTACTCAAGCAGCATGCGTTATGCCATCATCTATGGCTAATGTGCATTCAGGAAAGCAAGTTGCTTTAAAGGCGAGTGGATTTATGGCAGGCAGTGAACCAACGATAAAAAGAACGGCTCTCACCAAGTACGACTCGGTTCCCTTCGTTCGTACCAAAGAGCCGTTCAAAAGAATCGGATCGTTCGCGAACGTCACATCACTAATAACCTGCTCTCCCACTCCGGGCATCAGCAGAGGAAGGTTAAATTCCTGTGTGGCCATTATTACAGGAAGCTAATGTGAAATTATTGGAGCAGAGATCAAACTGCAAAGGGGGGGAAACTGATGCTACGGCCTAATAAAAGAAAAGAGCAGGGCAGAAATAAAAGTGGAATGGAAATGGGGGATTCTAATGGAAATCCTCTTTAATAGTCAGGCTTGGGGAGTGAGGGATTACATGTAATGGGATTCAGAATCAGGATACAAAGGGAAGGTACAGTTACATTAAAAAAGATCAGATTACTGTTACATTTCAAAAAATGTTGGATTACTTTTAGGACTAAAAACCGATCAGTTCGAGGTTTGTTCATTTCCCTCTCACATCAGTCTGTCCTCCACTCCCCCTCCACTCCCCCCTCTTTCCATCCTCTGTATCTCTGGTTCCTCCCCCACTACTACATCAGTGTATTCCCCAGTTGACTCACACAACACCCGCAGAGTCTGCTCGCTCCTCTTGTCTCCGGGGGCCAGAGAGGGATGGTCCACGGCGCAGATGATGAGGTCGTTGTCATCCCCGCGGCTCACCTCCAGGGTGAGCTTGCTGCTCACGTTGGATGTGGGTTCGTCTGGAATGGACTCCACCAACTCTGTATGTCCTGAGGTGGAGAGAGACAGAGAAAGGCTTTAGTGTCACTGTACAACAATATACTCAGGGGTGCACACAACTTTCTCAGTGAGGTCCTCAGATGAGTACCTGGAGTCAGTGTTTGGTACTCCAACTTCTGACCATTGTTAACGGGGGGGGGGGCGTCAGTGGAGTACAGCGATTCACGATTGTTAACGGGGGGGGGGGGGGGGGTGGCGTCAGTGGAGTACAGAGCTTCGAGATCGCGGCGCGTGTGAACGTTGTGATCAGCTGTTTTAGCGCAGAGCTGCTGTACAGACCGACGTTAACAGCAGCCCTGTCTGTGCACACGGAGACCGACTCTGTCGTCCGGTGAACTAACCGCCTTCTGGAAAAGCTTCACATTTACGTCGGTACGCAAATGCGCTTTGTGACACAAGTGACGGTACGCATTTCAGATTGTTGCCGCGCATGCGTACCTGCGTACCAGTTATGTGCACCCCTGAATATACTGCAAGATCTTTGGAGAGCAACGCTGTCACAGTGCACGGTGAGGAAAACAGACCAGTAGGACAGACAAACGTTAACAATCATAGAGGGAGAAATACATAATTAAGAGCAATGTCGTAAAAGCTTTAAGTGCCTTAAAAAAGTTCTAAAGTGCATAAGAGTTAGGTATTTAAAGGGTTTTACACTCCATAGACGGGGACAGTCATCTGGACCAGGGAATACAACAACACACACACACACCCACACCCACACACACACACACACACACACACACACACACACACACACACACACACACACACACACACACACACACACACACACCACACACACACACACACACACACACACACACACTTTATTTGACTCCAGGTTGTGGTGGTTTCTCGTGTGCAGAGCTGCAGTGACCCCCATTTGTTCCTGTTAAATGAAAAATGACCTTTCTGTGCAGTTACCTTGTGCCCCCAGGTGTTTTGGTGTGCTATCTCTCATTATATGCCACATGTACTGTTTTTCTAACAATGCATTCCCTCACACTTCCTGAGCAATGTCGCACCTTTTCCCTCACTAAAGGAATATATATATATATAATTTATTCAATGGTGTACACATGAATGTTTTATCCAGTGAAATGTCATCACAGATTATACAACCAAGACAACATTTGACATCATATAAAACAGTAATTGCCTTTAAAGTATCCAGGTCTAGCAGCAGTAATATGGGTATGTGTCTCTGTTTTGCCATAAATGTGTTTAATGATGATACAACGTGGTCAATTAGGTGATGGACAGAACATAAATCAATATTTGGCATTAATTGACTTGTGTTTTTGAGTAATTAAAGTCTCTCAAATGTGAGCAGTTGCTGCATTTCTCTGATTATCATCGTTGTACTTAGAAAATCGTGTTTGGAATTTGAGCTGTCTGTCAGAAGAAAAAAAAGAATTAATTTGAAGACACAATTTTCGGCTCTTGAAATGATGATGGACATTTCCCTGTATTTCCTGACATCTTATAGCCTAAGCTATTAATCTATTAATCTAAAAGCGAATCTTGAGACAAATCACTGAGGCAAACAACCGTTAGCTCAACAAGTGTTTGATTTTCTAATACGGGTTGCAATTGTGGTCTAATTGCCAGTTCTGACATGGATAAACATAACAAATCAGTTTGTTACTGGTGACTCAGGTTACCATAGTGCCGCAGCATCACTGTGATCATGAGGAAACATTTGAATGTCAAGGCCACTTCACAGCATCTTCAAAGTTGCAAAAGTCACCATGGCGTGTTGGCAGCTCCAAATGGCAACTGAGAGTCAACTGAAACTTTAATTTCCTTTCAGCGCCAGGAACTCCTGTAATGTAACATCAGAGAACTGCAGCTCGCTCATGTTTACTAACCAGGCCGGGCTGTGAAGTCTCCGGCTGAAGGACACCAAAGAAGAGAGAGTGAGAGGCCAGAGATCTAATGTGGCCACGTCTAGCTTTCTTTGTACTTGCTGTTGCTTAGGAGACCGCTTGCATATCCATTACTGAGATGCAAGCAGTCAGAGAATCTACAACCTCAACTTCAATCTGTTGTGTCTATATTCCTTTATTTGGACTCGTAAAGCTAGTCTGTTTTTATGATGCAAGTAATAATTGTATATTGAGAAATGTCCTTTTGATGTTGTTTTCCCCCCTTTCTTTCCTTTGTGGTACATTTCTGGCAGCAGCCACAGGATAAAAAGAGCTGGGCAGGTGCTGTGGTGTGTCTGTGCAGCAGCAGCAGCAGCAGCAGCAGCAGCAGTGGAGTAGAGTTAGACAAAATATGAAAGCATAAACACAGAGGAGACTGTCATCCGGAGATCGCACTCTATTTTACAAAAAGATACATAAAACGAGGTGGTCAGACCGTGAAAGTGGTTGGTGAATCTTGGAAAGTGGACCAGAACCTTATCACTTTCTCTTGCATCGAGTGACACACATACACTTATACACACACACACACACACACACACACACACACACACACACACACACACACACACACACACACACATGCATAGGCACATGTAGGTCAGGCTTATGAATAACATATACACAGAGGAGGCAGAGATAGTGGCAAGGGAGACGATTGGAAAACACACACACACTCTCTCTCAAACACAGATATCTCCCCCTCCCTCCTCCCTCCTCCTCCTCCTCCTCCTCCTCCCCCTCCAGAGAACTCTTCAAATACCACTGAATCTAATGACATCTCCCTTTTCATTACCATAACCAGTCCTGTGACCCGCTGAGAAAATTAGTTTACTTTCCAGGTGAATTTCAATAATCCTACGCCACTCAAAGGAGTCATTTCGTCACTGTCTGCCCTCTCTCTCTCGATCCTCTCTCCGCACACAAACAAACACCGTATGGCTTTTATTATTATTAAAGACCACGCATCTCGGAAATCAAACCTTGGAATGAAAAGAAAATCCTGTTTGTTTGCCCGCTGACTCCAGAGTGCAGTCGTTTTCCAAATCTCACAATTGAGTTTTAATGTGTTTGTTGTTTTTTTTCACAGGCCCAAGGGGTCATGGGAAAGACTCGTCACATTCATTAAGGACAAAAATAATAAGCAGTCATTTTAAGTGGTTCTTCCCAAGACAGCAATGATGCACATTTGCCTATAATTCACATTTCCTCAGTTCATTATTAGATAATCAGCGTGGATTTGCATGTCAACTGCTGCAAGCGGAGCAACAAGCATAACGGACTGTGAGCAGTTACAGGTTGTGTTACACTGGGATAGGTACACACTAACACACTCTTAAAGGGCCAGTTCACAGATACAAAAAAAAAGCTGAATATCTTTTGATTTATGTCCAGTTTTTCAGATATTCATCTTTATATTCTACTGGGGCTGCATCACTTGGAAATACATAAGTGATTGCGATTATTTTTACTTCTTTTGAAAATGCAGTATGATTCCCGATGTCAGAGGGAAAGACCATCTTTAAAATATTCACATTGTCATTGAAACATTTATTAAAATGATAGTGCTTTGATTTTTTAAGAGGATCTGTTCCAAAAGGGAGTTTTTATACGGTCTTTATATTGTCTTGGCTGTAAGCACTACAATACTTCATCCATGTTCACGTATTAAAGTGTGCAGCTAGCCTCTACCCATTGGATGACATATACATAGTGGTGCACACAGCAGTTAGTAGTGATTTACCCACAGAAAACAGGCGATGAACATGTTTTTTGCCAGATGATATTCCCTCTGTGAGAAAGAGTTACCTGGTTGTTGTTCCTGGAAACAGAGGTTGCTGATGTCTGAGCTCAACAAACTAAATTCAGTGTCAAAACCGGAACAAATGCACATTTTGAAATGTGAAAACTGACCCTTAAACTATATTTAAACCCTTTATTGAAACCCCTAAACACTCTTTTTTATACTGTGTTTTCTCCGGACCACTTGAAGGATTGTTTGAAGTAATGAAGTTGCAGAGTACCTGACTCTCGACTTCGCCTTAGCTCTCCGGAGCTTTTCGTTGTTTTTCAGCTCATTATTTTGGGTTTCAGGCCCACAGCCTCACTGTTTCACCCCCCAGTGCTCTCGTTATTTCCTGCAGCTCCAATAAACAAACTGTACACTAACTGTACACAACAACAACAACAACAAATGTCACACAGACAAACAAAGCTGGTCTCTAGCATTGGGCGGATAGATACTCATGGTAGAGAACAGGCTGTATGTCTACATGACCTTGCATCAAAACATAAGATGCAGTGCTGATAGTGTGGAGATACAAATAAAGGTGTGAGCAAAGATGGTTGATAGGTGTTAAATGAAACACAGCTACCATCAGCATACATTCAAACCCAGACATGCTAGGTCATCACACATACTCTATGATTGACTATGTCTTTCGTATTTTGAATTATATTTGCGATATTTGTCAAAGCATCTTTGAGATTTTAGAAAAGCGCTATATAAGTGTCATGTAATATTATTATTATTAGTTATTTAAACACCATGCTTCACTCTACGTCCTCAATTCATAATGTACAGTCAGTATATATAACATCAATTAAATATATCATTGCCTTGTCACGTGATTTTTTACTTTTCAAAAGAGTTCCAAAAGTTTTCCACAGCTACCAAATAATTATAAAAACATATTATATCATCAAAAGTATATTTTGAATGACTGATAAATCATTAAAAAAAGAACATGAATATTCAATTGTATTTTTCCAGCATTAGTTATAGTGTGTGCAGCCTTCTCCTTTTTAATATTTAAACTCGGCAATTCTCCAGGACCTGCTGAAAGTTTAATGCCATGCCTGTATTTTTTTATTTTAACTCCTATTCCTGGAATAAAAAAGGTATGCAACCTGAGCAATGTGGACACTAACTCCCCCCAAGGTGGTGATGGGATGCAGATGAGATGCTGCTGCTGAGGCTTCCACCCTCCAGAGTACAATCCACCATTAAATAATCATATTAGCAGAATCACACAACTGGATGCAGCAATTAGAGCGTCCAT